GGTTTTAAATTGCCATGTTTAGGTGGTCAGAATCCTTTTTTTTTATTGCCAAGGAGGTGAGATCACTTGCTTGTTTGTTTCTTTCTTCTTTTTTTTTCCATTTTAAAATGTTGTGAGACATGTTTTGCCATTGTTAGAAAAGCCTTGTTAAATTAGATGCTGTGTGACTCAGCATGGCTGAGACCCACAGATTCCTTTTTTGGGGGGGTGATTCTGGTTTTAAGCTCTCTGATGTCAAGAGCAAAGCAGGACAGAAAGTACAACAGGATGTTTAATCTGTTGCTCACAACTTTTTTGCTGTTTTAAACTTGCATAGAATATAAATCTCGTAACAGTTCTGCTTTAGCATAACGAGTTAGCCTTGCATCTCAAGGCTGCCCTAAGCTATGGCTGTTGTGGGAAAGCTGCTGTCTTTGCATCACACTTAAACTGTAACTTGTCTACCTTTCTTCCTAAGAAGTGACACATAGACTGGCCCTTTATCATCATTAGTCATTGCAACTCAAATTTAGTTGTCTGAGGAGAGACAGGTTATGCATTCTAATTCAATAATCTAAAAGTCACTCAGCAACAGCCTATCTGGTGTCTCGTTTATTTTGTCAACAGAGTTCTGAAATTAAGTTTCTTGGTGCAATAAATTTGACCAGTGTACTACATGGGAAATTCGTGTCATCTTTAATTCTCCTCTGAGTATTTTGAGCTCAAGCAATGTGACATCGGGTGGAGCCACAGTGCTGAGAAGTCATGAGTCAGATTCCAAAACTTAAATGCTTTTAATGCTCCAGGGAACTTGAAAAAGTACATTTTCTTTCTATATTTCCTAGGCTAAGGCATCTTATCCTTGAAAAAAACATTCACATCCCATTTGCAAGCTTTACTTTATAACCATGAAGATAAAAAGTTCCCTCATTTTTCCAAGTAAAGTTGATATTGTTATATAATAGTATTCCAAGAGTCAAATGCTTAAAAAAATGCCAAATACCTCCATGTTTTCAGTGCAGTTGTGTTGGCAGAGTAACAAATATAAGACGAATAAATGCTGCACTAAAAACAATGTGATTGTGTCTTGAGGATGACACTGTAACTTTACAAGCTGAAGGTTTGAAATAGGACAGCTCTCTAGAGTATAGCTAAGAGCGGCGCAGGAAGGGCACCAGTATGCATGAAGATGTGCTTAGACATGGCATCAGGTCCTTAGGGAACAGCCATCACCTGGCATCCGAATGTATTGTGTTGGCATTGAGCTTATGAATATTGAAATCCAGTGACAGCTGTGATGAGTCATGTACGTTTAACTTCATCCCTTCTTAGTTTTGGGTGCAGGCTGATTGGGGTCTATCCCAGTTAAAGGCAGCAGAAATACGCATTTCTGAGAAAGAGTTTTGTAAGACTGCAAAATTGCTGCAGTCCTTCACTCACACCATGATAAGGTAGCATGAAGTGAATATAAACAAACACAAAATCCCTAATGATGCTGGCTATAAAAAGTAAAGAACTGGGTTGACAGGGGATTAAATTATTCAGTGTATCTCTGCAAAAACTTCCCCATGGCCATTCCTGAAGGGCCATCACCCAAAGGTAAAATATTCTCTGGCCAGAAGCTGTAGCTGAGCTGGCTATAGCAATCTGGCCTTTTTTTGAGATGTATCCTGATAGTAGGAAAGAAGGTGAGATTCAAGGCAAATACAATTTTTGCAAATATAAGAGGATGAACTCATGCTCGATGATCTTTGAGATTAATTTTAAGATTCAGGTCCCTATTACTGTGAAAAAACTTCTGTGGAGTAGAAGGGTCCACTGAGGCTAATCATTAGCCATATGTACTTTTCTAAAAGGAGGGGTACACTAATTAAGGTGTGGAACTAGAAGTCCTTTAGGGAAAACTGACTTTGTTGATACACTTCGGAATAACATCATAATACATCTGTTACACCAGGAGTATTATTTATCTGCATAGACTTCACAGGGCTTCTCTGAGGCTGGTTGCTAAAGACAGGTATTACAATCCTTATTTTATAGACAGATACAAAATTGAAGCTCAGAGAGTATAAATGAATAGCCTAATATCACTAGTAGCAGAGCAATAATACTGCTTCTAAATTTTTCTTCTTAATTTACAGCTCTTAATTTTACTGCTACTGAATAGATCACATGATTAGCTGTGAAACACTTTAGAGGAAAAGAAAAATATAATTGAAATAATATATATGTATATATTATTCCATTGAGAGTGTGGGATTTCTTTCTGCTTTAGTATATAGGAGATGTACAAACCTTCTTGGCTTACTTAACCTTGACTAATAAACAGCTGGGCAAGTAACTGGGTTTCCTTCTCCTCTACTTAGAAATCCATTTTCTCATATAAACCTAGTATGTTTATTGGTTGGGGGTTTTTTTTGTATATGGCATAAATTTGTTTTTCATATCTGAAGAAAATGTCTTGGTATCAGACTGAATATTATAAATAAAAGAATGTATTTGGCTGCTTAAAAGTACACACATCCAAATATATTTTGTTTAATCTATGCTCAGAACTTGATTTAGTAGACAGATGGTCTAAATTCTCCTATTCTAATCTTATGGCAAGGCTTCTATAATAAGTCACAACACAACAATATAGGACAGAACAATAGAATGTGCATCTTCTGTGTGGATTTCATATAAGGCTTTGTGTAGGTTCTTTCAGAGACTCTCGGGTGACATCTACTGGAGGTAAAAGAATAAAAAAAGCAGCATTTGACGAATAAGAAAAACAAACCATTTAATAAAAAAAAAGAAATATGTTTTCTTCACCCTATTTCAGTATTGGTAACTGAGTTCAAATATTATAACAGGTTCCCCAAATTCATGAGCTTGCCTTCAAATTCATGAGCCATTTAAAAACATGTATTTTTAATGAAAACTGTGGTTTTCAAGTATTCATGTCTCCAGGAGATGAAGCTTAAAGGAAAATTGACTTTTGATAAAATCAAGAGAGTTGGCAGTATGCACACTCCAGAGTAAATAAAAGGGGGAAATACCATTCCAGTGTGAAAATGTACTATACCAATGTGGACCTACTGAGGATCTGCCTATTTCTTTTCATGTCTGATAACAGGAATGATGCATACAGATTTTTATTGAATTTTCTTTTCACTGACTTGCTTTCAGAAACAAATCATATCATGTCATTCACATTCTCAGCTGCATGTTTCAAACGCACAGCTAATATCCAATCCCAGTTAAAGAAAATGACTTTTTAAAAAAAATTATACACTTACAAAAATATATAAAATTTTGTAAATAAGATTTTGGTTTTGTTATCTGAAGCTGAATACTAGTTAAATTAAATTAAATACTTCTTTTAAATTTGTTTGTAGTAATTCTACATTGTATCATGCTTTAAGTATTATCACACTGCAGTTATTACAGCTTTTAAAGTATCCCACAAAAGATAATTTTGATTTCTTTGTATTTTTAGTTACATATTCTTCTCACATATATATAAATTCAAGTTTCTGTGTGTCTGTGTCTCTATGTGTGTGTACGTAGTTAAGAATTTAAAATTTAGGAATGCAAATCCAAGCATCTTTTCTGAGTTTGATGGAGATTTTTAAAGTCTGTCAAAAATTCTCATACTCTTTCGGGACTGCACACAACAGTGCAGAGCATGCAATGAACATGAAAAAGAACCAAAAAGGAAGTCAAGAAACAGAAGGAAGAAGTCTGTGTATCCTTCATTGGCCATTAATTATGGCAACACTTAACCAAGATTAATCACTGCATTTTAGGCAAACTACTCACAGAAGCAGTACAAGTAGCTCAGGAGAACAACAGATGCCTTTCTGTTACATTTCAAACCAGCAAAGTACAGCACAGAAAATCAATCTGAATAGGAAGTTACCATTTGTGTTATATTCACCTGAGCACTATACGCTTGTTCCCACAGGCCTGGGATTTGCATTTTGAACTTTCTGTGTATCAGAATAAAAATACACCAAACTTTAGTTAGACACCACAAAAACAATAAACTGTACTTTTTTCAAACTTAAATTCACCCAGTAATCTGAAGTCATTGTTTTCAAGCTTTGTTTTTTTCCTAATGGAAGTTGGAACCCAAAGATTATCTTCATATTCACTTTCATAATTAATCAGTCCAATATATACATGTCATTTCCTGTGGTTTATTATAAATTCCAGAAAGCACATACAGCTATGGTGTTTAAAGTTACTACAAAATGTACAACAAGTTTTTTTTATTACCAGGACAAAGTTATTCTGGGGACAGATTACCCTTTTCCACTTGGGGAACTGGAACCTGGAAAATTGATTGATTCAATGGAAGATTTTGACAATAAACTGAAGGTATGATCTTTACATTTGGGGGTTTTTTCCCTCCTTTGTAAGCCTCTAGTTTTAGACCTGAGATAAAACACTGAAAAATCAGTGTACTACACTGATTTCTGCCAAGACTGGAAGAGGCCTTTTAGTCTTTTTGCAGCAGTTCATTTTAAAGCACGAGTAAAAGCATTTGAGTAAAATCCAAGTTAAGCACACACAAACATATATATCTGTTCTGTTTTTACAGGATAAACTCAAGGCTGGAAATGCTCTGGAATTTTTGGGTCTTAGCAGAAGACAATTTCAGTAATTATGAAGATATTAAAGAGACCAAAGCTTGGAAATAACACTGAATCCTTAGGGATACTTCTATTTGCACATGCAATTACACAGGTGAAAAATGAATCTGACAAGTATATTACAGTCTACTGTTACTTCCAAAACAAAAGCAAGGGTACTGGAAATGAGCATGCACAGGTATTTCTGTGCATTTGAGGATTTAGGTTGTCCTTAGACAATTGTGAAATCCCTGCTTTCATAAAACAGGAAAGATTTAATCTTTTGCAGTTGCAGTAAGAATCTCTGAATGATAATCAAAGTCATGTTATTAGGACTTGATTGCCAGGAAGAAAGAACTGAGAAAATTATGACTTGTCTCCATTACATTTCTGGTTTTGTTATGCCCAATAAAAAGAATTTAAAGGAATCTTAAAACAGAATTTAATTGCAATAAAAGTCAACATCTGCCTTTATCCAGTGATTGCAACTGCAGCGTACCACACTTCGGCTCAGCACTGCAAGTACACACACCACTGCTTTGTAAATGTTGTGGTAAGATGAAAAATCTCTGTGTGGGACCTGTACTTTTTAGCTGCCTCCTACACCACTGGCAACTTACTCACCAGAAACAATTTGAGCAGTATGGTTGTAGGTGCAGAAATAACGTATTTGTGTGGGTAATACTTTGTGCATCACTGTCAAAATAAATACTAGTGTTTAGCAACAGTATGGTTTAATGTTCTATTCCTTAAAAAGTACTTCCTAAAAGTAAGGTTGGATACTTTAAATGTTGGAATGTTAATGCTCTATCTAGTTTGAATCCTGCTATAGGAATGGAAAGATGGTTTACCTTATAGCCTATTGATTAAAATGGGTTTTCATGATTATCTGGTGAGTACACAGGCATCCTCCTCCTGAGAGGATTTTATACTAGTCAGGAAAGTGCTGGCGAGCACTTGCGGCCTCCATTCTCCTGGGATTGTTTGTGGGCTACATGTCGTGTCACCATTCTTCTGCCTAGTCTTAGAACACTCCAGGAAAAATACTATTAGACAGAATTTGTTTTTGTGGCTGTATCCATAACTGTCTTTATGTCACAGACTGAACCTGAAGGATGTTGAACACCAGCAGTTCCTGCTAAAGGCAGCTTTCTCCTCCTTTACAGCGTCAAAAAAAAAAAAAAAAAAGGTAGTTTGTGCAGGTTAATTATATGTTTTCCTAGCTATTGCATTTGGATCTTTACTCTATTGCTTCTCCATATATATATATTCCGTAAAAGACTACTGAGCATCAGAAGCTGAAGTAGACAGCAGGTCACAGGTTTAGGCCCTGGGAATATCAAGTTTTCATGTAAGAGGAAAAGAGGGCCTAGATAAAATAGCTTTAGCGATATTTATTGCCCTCAGGTTCGCAAAACTTCTGTTAACCTTTTGTATTTAAGTATCTACAGGCAAGCACTGAGCTATTTAAATGTATGATTTTTCAACCAGGATGTTTTAACTAAATTTCAGAGTAGAAGGCAGGCAACTTTGTCCTCATATAACATTCTGTTCCTTCAGCATATTTGATTTTCACAGATGTTTAAATATATTTAAGAGGAAAATACAATGTGATTCCTCCAATGCATTTTAATTTGATTAATTCTTCAATTTTTTAATGAATGAAGTTAGTGAGAATGCAATGTTACATCTTTGGGGACCAAGGCCTGGAACCTCTCCAATAGCAAGAGCAGTATCTAATTACCTTAACCTGTGACTGAATGGGTGATTGCAGCACTCTGCATGGCAATTAATTAATCTGCATACCCTGCATAAATCATATTCATTATGCACTGTCATTATTTAATGATATCCTACCTATTCTCGATGTGTTAAGATTTTTAAGACAGGGATATATATAAACTTCCCGACATCTTCCTTTTGCTTCATTAGCAAAGCTAATGTAAAATTCTAACGGCAGTCAGACAAGAACTTTCTTAATACTCTTCCACCAATTATTGAAGGAATTAAGAAAAAAAGTCGAACACCCGAACTCCATGAGTTTTACACAATGATTTGAACAATGAGGTAAAACACTGCACTTTTAGATTGTTAAAAGCACAAAAATACAAAGGCAAAGATCAGCTCCTAATTACAATAGAAGTCTTTGTAGTTAAATTTCCTCTGCGTGATAAATCTTTAAAGATTATTTACAGCTGGGAAATCAGGCAAGTAATTCATGTCTGTCCAGGCCGCATTATAAGCCTGTGTACTTCATTTGTGTTCTGTTGGGTCTATAAAATTATAACTGCTTGTATTAAATTTGCACTGAAGTTGTAAAAGAAACAGTTGTAACGTAATTTTAGGTGAACAAAACTGCTGTAGAATGCTAGTGGTATAGGCTAAACAGGAGAATGTTTGGAGCTCTTATTTTGGTCCATAATGATCAAAACTTTAAATAAAAGCAAGTACCTTTTCGTACCCTTGAATCCATAACCTCAAGCTGCTGCTGAAAATCAGTAACTGAAAACTGAGTGCCCAGTGAGAACTACCTGCACACTGCATTATAGCGGATGTTAAAAAGAAATGGAGTTGCTGAATAGACCATGCTCAAGATGTAAGGAAATTTAGGAGAGCTATGTATTTTCCTGCAGGGAAGAGCGAAGGCTGCATTTCTTTACCCCAAAGCAGTAGCAGACAGAAGTTGAGATGTTTCACTCTGGCACTTTACTGTGTAGGCTGCATCACTACTTGGGCACCTGGGTTCATGTTATTATTTAAGGATGACATAGGAACAGGCAAAAAGTTTAGCAAGTGATCCTAATTCTTAAAGGTAGCTGAAGAGTAACATGGGAGAGGTTCCTGCTCAACACAATGTGCGCATATGCATCTTCTCCATGCATTCCAGAATAATTGACCTGATGGAGCTATTAGCCTGGAAGGGCACAAGGTATCACTGGACAGGCTTAATTCTGCCTTTTTGGCACCAAATTCCTGAGAAATACTACCTGTAGAAGTTAGTTCTTGCTTATATAGGTGTGATGATCATACCCACCATAAACTCAGGAATCAGGAATTGATGTGCGATTTTTAAGTGTTCCTGCCACTGAAGAGAGGAATGCTTTGCCTAGGTGTTTGCTCCTACCACTACCAAGACGACAATTACAGGCATAGCATGCCATTCACAATCTTGACATTTTTCTTGCAGAATGAGTGACTTCAAACATGTTAAAAGACCTTTTCACCTTCTTTCCGCAGCCTCTATTCCCAGTTCTTTACTCTTCCTAACACAACAATCAATTAGCATTTCCAAGTCTTTTAGCCCTTAAAATATATGTTCTTTTATTCTGGTGCCCCTGGACAACTTATTTCAAATCTGCAAGAATGAGAAGGGCAGCCGAGCATGGCAAGATCACGCTTTCTGGGTAGTGCAGGGCATGTCAGTGATGCGAGGCCCCCTCACAGACAAGCTCTACAGGCCTGGCTCTAGCTTGTCACCCTACCTCCATTGCTGTCCCCACCTGATAATACATAAGGCTCACTCTTAAATCACAGAATAGTTTGGGTTGGAAGGGACCTTTAAAGGTCATCTAGTCCAACCCCCAAATCTTCACTGAAAGCCTAAAACTTAATGGATGTCACATAACTACTGGCCTTCCTGCTGGAAGATCAAGATTCACTCACCTTTAAGGAGGAAGGGGGTGCTAAGTCATAAGAACCATCAGCCAATTTCAGAACGGGATCACGTACATCATAGCCTGCATCTTCAGGGCAGGCAACTCTTTTATGTGTCAAAGCTCCTTAAGTTTAAGGAGCATACGACATGCTCATGCCACTGCACGCTACATGTGAGGCAATAAATGGGATCCCTTGAAACATCGGAGGTTGAAACGATCTAGGAGTCTTTACTGAAACAAGGAAGTTTTGAGAGGCAAGAGGCTGTTTGTCTCAAACCATCAAACTTCTCAGCTGAACACAAACAGCCCAGGAAGACAGGACTACAACCGCGGAGCATGGCCACAGCCATTCCCCACACCCGATTCCACTTCTGGAAGAAACCTCTTACAGAGAGCTAGGACAGAGACACAGAACCGCGACTTGCCGGCCGCTCCTTCTTCAGGAGAAAAACTGGGTTCTATCTCCCCAAAAAAGACTCAAACATTCAATGGCTCCAAACCAAACTGCTGGTTTGTTACTAGTAGGTTACCAGACTGCAGCAGGCAACCCGGGTCAAGACAAGCCCCAGGAGACGCCTGACGAATTTAAAACTGCAGGAAGAGCGAGCGGCTGCACCCTCCCCCGCGCTGCTGCTCTCCGCCCGTCAGGGGGCAGCC